AGCTAGCTAATAATAAGCCTGAGCTATTGGCCAAGCATTTATAATTCATATTCAGCCTCTGAGGTGGTTATCTGGGACCAGGCAGTTGGGACAGGAAAACTCCACCTACACTACTGCTGTTTTTATACTTTTAAAGGCTCATGTTTTATAATAATAATGTGTGCTGTGGGATGGGGCTTTCTGTGAATATGTGTTGCTACCATTGGTTAATAGAGAAGCTGTTATGGCCTATTGCAAAGCAGGACAGAGTGAGGTGGGTGATCCAAGAGAGATTCAGAGGAGGAAAGGCGGGGTCAGAGAAGATGCTGCAAGCCACCACCTGGGGAGCAAGATGTAATGGAACCCAGGTAACACCATAAAGCCATGTGGCAAAACATAGATTAATAGAAATGGATTGAATTAGGTTGTAAGAGGTAGTTAATGATATGCCTGAGCTATAGCACAAAGAATTTGTAATTAATATAAGCCTCTGTGTGTTTACTTGGGACTGAGCAGCTGTGGGACACAGGAACACTTTTGGCTACATGTGTGTGTTTGAAAAATCATTGTAATTTGCCCATCAATGAAAAGGCAAGGTAAATCTACTGCTCTGGACCTCAACCTCCCTACTTGTAAAATGATAACAGCAAAAATGGTGTAATTTAGCCGGGCAGTGGTGTACACCTTTAATCCCAGCACTCAGGAGGCAGAGCCAGGCAGATCTCTGTGAGTTCAAGGCTAGCCTAGTCTATAGAGCGAGATCCAGAATAGGCACCAAAACCACATGGAGAAACCCTGTCTTGAAAAAACAAAACAACAAACAACAACAAAAAAATGATGTAATGTGAGGTTTATATGCGTTTAAATAAAAGTAAAGCATGTATAGTGGTCAGCATACTGATGAACTTTAGTAGGTGTTCAATGTATAATGTATTATTTTTCATATTCTCTCTCTTTCAATACTTGCTTTTGTTATTTTATTTATATGTATGTGTTTATATCTTTGTGGGTAAATGCCACATGTGAGTGCAGTGCCCACAGAGGCCACAAGAGGCATCAGACCCCTTGAATTAGAGGCAAAGGCAGTTGTGAGCCACCCCTCATAGATGCTGGAATCCAAACTCAGGTCCTCTGCAAGAGGACCACTGAACCAACTCTCCAGGCCCTTCTCCGATCCTTTTTCTACTGTCCTTTGTATGGGAGAATCATCTACTCTCAGGCTTTAGAAAGCATTGAGAAGTCAGTCATTAGTAGACATCAGGTGAGCACCTCTGTTCTATGCTCTAGGTATTGTCTGAAGAGCTAAGACACACAGGTCACACTAATATCCTGGTAACACCCTTTCAGTGACCTTTCTGTAGCTGGCCCCTCGTCCAGGGCTCACAGAACTGAGATCAGGGTCACAGGTCTGAGGGTACAGAAGCAAAGACAGGTTTGATGAAGCTCTGACCATCTTCCTGCCATTTTCCAGACATCCCAAGCTCCAAAGCTCCTTTTAGAGAATGAGCAATCTCTCTGGGGAATGGGGAGCTCCAATACCAAGAGCCAAAACTCAGCATAAACACAGACTGTGTTTGTAATGAGTTGCCTGACAGCTGTTTATGGGTGAGGTTTGGGATTGGGTGAGGCTTGTTTTGTGTTTCAGGGGCAGGGACCCAACAGGCCTGTGTCAATATAATTATTTCTGAAAGACTCTTGAGAATTTGGCCTTTAGAATTGTTCTAAAGGTATTAGTAAGGCAGCCTGCCTGCCCGCCTCCCCTCTCTCTCTCTCTTTCTGTGTGTGTGTGTGTGTGTGTGTGTGTGTGTGTGTGTGTGTGTGTGTGTGGTGTACATTCCAGTTATTTCAATTCCTGCTCCCTCGAGCCTCTTTGGCTGGCTGAAGTCCTCAGGGGCTACTTGGCAGATGGATGCTGGTCCTTATCTGCAAAATGCTGTCAGTCATATGGTACCTTGGGGCCAGCCATGTTCACAAGGGTCTTTCTGCCATCTTTGGGCACTCAGGTCTGTGAAGCTCTAGAGGAAAAGTTAAAAAACAAGAAACAGACTGGAAGCACTCTTGGTTCTTTATCGGACATGTGTTCAGAAACTCTTCAAGTGGCCTCTTCCTCAATTACTAATAATTCATATAGGGTGGTGATTCCTTCCACCATAGTGAGCCGTGTTGGGGACCTGTATTTATTAGAGTTTAGTGCATTTATTAAGATCTGTCCCAAATGTGCTGGGGACAGTGGAAAGGAAGTCAAATTTGAAGTAGCTAGGTTCAGAAGAACAGAACAGTGGTTTTAATAATCGAAACCAATCTCACAGAATGGAGAGTTAATAACAGGGATCTGAAGTGCCCAGAGGGCAAACGGCTTTGTAAGAATAGTGGCAATGGTTCACTGGTGTGTTCTCTCAACAGAGATCATTGACTATTTGCCTTGTGTCAGACTCTGTTCTTGGCAGTGGGGAAACAGGTCTTCCCTGGCCTTCAGGGTCTAGCCAGGATACAGTCTTCTAATAAATGATTTCACTGATAAATACAACTACAAGGAAAAGTTCAAGGTGCATGGAGCTGGACTAAAAAGGAAGTGATGTTGCAGATGGATGAGGCCAGGCCGATGGGGACTAAGTAGGAGCTGCTCAGGCAGTGGGAACAGTGGAGACTCTGGTGGGAAGAAATCTGCCTCATCAGGCAGGCAGGGCAGACACTACATTTGTGGTTGCAATCAGAGGCCAAGTGAGCATGCTGAAGTGGCTGGAGACGGGAGGAGGATCCTCTAGACCACACAAACTTCCAACTTTCTTTTAGGAGCAAAAAAAAAAAAAAAAAAAAAAAAATCGCGGGGAGATAACTCAGTCCAGTGCATCTCAGCTTGGTCTCCAGAGGACACTTAACAAGCTGAGTGCTGTGGCAATGTTTGCAATCCCAGTGCCGGGCAGGTGGGGACAGATAGATGCCTGGGGCTTGCTGACTGGCCAGCCTTGCTTGCATGGCCAGTTCCAGGTCAGTTAGAGACCTTATCTCAAAAGTAAAATAAAGTAAAAGTAAAGTAAAAAGACGGATGGTGTCTGAAAACGGACATCTGTAGTCATCCTCCACTCTCTGTACATGCACACACCCATAAAAGAGCAACCAGAGGGCATTAGCAGCCCTTTCAAATCGAGGGGGAAACTAGAGAGACAAGCCCAGAAGTTAGGAGGCCGTGCCCACAGTCCTAGTGATGGAAGAAACAATCTTGTGAAATCAGGTGGGTGGTGGAGACAAAGCGGTAAATTCTGTGGGCGTTTAGAAAGTGGACTCCAGAGGAACTGGTGAGCAGGCGAGTGTTGCTGAGGAGAGAAGACGAGCTGCAAAATAATTACTAAGTAGTTACCATGACCTGGCAGTCATTGGGCCACTTCCTGAAGAAGACCCAACATTCGAGGCTGATTGCACGGAGAGGTATGGAGCCCAGACCGAGTCAGAATGAGTTTGAGATGCCCGACGGATGCCCAAATGCAGACTGTATGAAAAAAGCAGCATTGTTTAAAATACAGAAAAGCTATGACTGAAGTGCCTATACTGGAAATATCAACGAAGACTGGCCAAAGTCTTCTGGAACAAGGTTCTTTGCTTTCGTTTTTGTTTTTTTCCACTTCATGACAGCTGTACCTAAGACTAAGGCCCCCAGTGAGGGTGGGAAGAAGGTGTGAAACAGAAACTGAGGTAGTGTGCTGGAGGAGAAAGAGCAGAAGCCCAAACTGACTGTCACAGAGGCTGAGTGATGGGCATGGAAGCCACTGCAGCCGCGGTGACAGTGACAGTGAAGAAGATGAAGGAAGAGAAGGGGAGAGGGAAGGAGAAGATGGGGGAGGATAAGAAGGAGAAGAAAACTAAGAAAAAGAAGAGGAAGAAAGGAGGAGACCACAAAAGAGGTGGAAGAGGAGAGAAGAACAGATTGAAAAGGGGATAAAACAAAAGGAGAGAAGAAGTAGGAGGAGGGAAGGAGGAGGGGAGTCAGTGACGGCTGTCATCCCGGCAATGGTCCCAGTGACTGCAGGCCTGGCAGCAGCATCCTGGGAAGCAAGAGCAGCAGCTGCAGCAGCAGTGGCTACCGCGGTGGCAGCAGCAGCCAGGGTTGAGTTACGGACTGGAACTCTGCAGTGCAGCATTTCAGTCTGTTTTCCAAGCAGATTGCATCATCCGACAGCTCAGTGCTATAGGAAGTTTATGGTTTACAGAGGAGAAAATGGAGAGGCAGAGTTATTAGCTGGTACTGTCCTGAGAGATAACTAGTAAGAGCAGGATGGAAGTGGAAATCTGACTGCCCGAGTGCTCATCAAGCTTCACCTCTACCATGTGCACAGTCATGGTGATGGCCATCTCACGAGGTCACAGTTCCTGGTGCTTCCTACAGAGTTGTAACTTGGTCTATTTCATCCACCAATGGGTTTTCAGAGTTCTAAGTGTGTCCTGGTCTATAGGAGAACTCGGATCTTAAGAAACACGATTTCACCTTGAAGAATGAACAAATTCAGTCTGTCTTGCTGGTTTGCTGTAAGATCATCAATGTTTTGAATTTGTTAAAGCTGGATTTTGATTCTATGTTCCTACCTAGCTTTCTCCTCTCACTACAAACTAAATGTCACAAACCTATTCAGAAACATTTTTAAAAGTCAGCCCATTAAAATGAATTGGTCCCGGAATTCTGCATATACTCATTTAATTAGATGCTCATCCCCTGAGCTCATGCTCCAAGATTCAAGACTTCTATCTAGCCTCTCCCTGCCACCTACCCACTGACCACTCACATTCTGTGTTATTAAAGGTTAATGTGGAAGTAGTGGTTTTTTTCCCCTCCTACACAAGCCTGCAAAGAGAACTTTGAAATCATGCTGTGCTAAGCCTGGGTCAGCCATAGCTATATAAATGATTCACCATGCTTTTTAAGCGTATAATATTATGCTTTCCATTCCATACCTAAGAATATTTATGCATAGAAAAAAAGGGATAGGATTATGCAGTAAAAAGAGAACAGATTTGGGAACCAGCTGGACCCTGGTTAAAACTCTGTATAGACTGTTGACAAGCCATCGCTTTGTCGAAGTATCAGTTTCTCTAATTTTAAAGCCTAGACACTCACGCAGTGGGATTTACATAGGACACCTTACAGCTTAAAGCCCCATGCCACAAGTGTACTAGATAACTCAACGCACGTTCTCTTCCTCCGGACCTGGAATAGGCATTTACATAAGAGAAGCAAGAGACTTGCAGGCTGGGAGGTACTGTAGCGTTTGAGGATTTGCTTCTGTCTTTGTCTCTTGCTATTTTCTTACAGAACTGCAGGTTCTACCTCTATGGAACTCCTGAAGCTCTCAAGTGTGTCTCGATCCCCACGTGCCATCTGACTGTCACTACTTCTCTGTCATTTAAGACTGAGTTCAGTTGTGTCCTTCGGTCAGTCTCTATGTTGCGCCCCATCTGTCAAGGTGACTTTACTTCCTTCTTTTGTGTGTGCATATACTTAGGTGTTCAAGTGTGTATGTGTGTGTATAGGTCAGCCTCAGATGTCTTTCCCTAGGTGCCACTCACCTTGCTTGACTTCAAAGCAGGATCTCGTCATTGACCAGCTGGATTGCCATCCAGACCAGGGATGCACCACCCATCCCTGCCTCCCCAGCGCTGGGAATGCAAGAATATGCCACCGTGGTTGGCTGTTAAAATGGGGATTCTGGGGATTGAACTCAGGCCTCCATGCTTGGGAGGGAAGAACTTGGTGCCCAAACCGCCTCTCCAACCCCACTTCCTCCTTTTTATGGTCTCCAACTAAATCTACAAACCATAGTCCTTGTTTTTTTGTCACTTGGCATCAAATTTGTTTGTTTATATTTTTTCCACCCCAACAACAGAAAGTTTTCATTCAGGACAGAGGTTTTGGCCAATTAACCTGGATCCGTGGAATGTTGCAAGTAATTGGTGTTGTATAACATAGCTGGAATCAATAAATGTGATTGTCAATTATTATCATTACCAGAGCAAGGATTTTTGTTTCAAACAGAACACACACACACACACACGCGCACACACACACGCACGCGCACACACACACACGCACGCGCACACACACACATGCACGCACGGCATCGGGTGGGGGAAGCAGAATGAGTCTGAATGCTGTCATGAGGTGTGTTGGACAGTGGCCCAGTCCTTGACCATATCTTAAGTAGAATGGTACTAAGCATAGCTGTGTCTCATTCTGACTTGATTTTTCATCGCTTGTTCCTTCATGAACTAATTTGTGAAGCATTCTCTCAACAGATCCCAATATCCACAAGCCAGAAGGTGCATGCAAACCTTCTGCTCAACAAGAGAGTTATGGACAGGGAAGAGGAAACAACAGTCAAACAAGCCAAAGGTTGGTCTCAAGCCCCAGGAAGGTAGACGTTTCCTGAAGACAGACAGCCTTAGCCCCAGCGCTGATGGCACCACTCACTGCTCACTAACTCCCCCTAGCGCTCATTGCAGAAGTGTCCCTGCTAAGGCACCAATGCCTTCTTTGTTGAAAGTGTATGGGTTTGGTTTTTTTCTTTTTTTCTCCTAAAGCGTGGTCTAGATTTGACCAGTCCCTACTCCTTGCAAAACTCTCCAAATCTTGACATTCCCTGAGACAGTAAAATCTGAACGGTTGAGGGCTTTGGATATGGAGTCCCACAGGATGGGAGCAAGAAGAACCTTGTCCTTTCCCACTGAGTGCAGTCCTGGGCAGGTGGCTTCAGTGGACTGAGTGTCAGGGCTTGTGCTTGTGAAGGGACATAGGAGAAGATGGGGAAGAGACATCCCTGCCGCGCCGTGCTCAGAGCAGCCTGGCTGCTGTGGAGAGCCCTGGCGTCTCGCCAGCATCTCTGGCTTCTCTTGCTGGCCTGCTTGCTTGACTTCCTCCACTCTGCTGCTCTTCCCTGTTTACAAAGGAGTTTCTCCCGGGATCCCCTCCCTGAGTTCTGCACTCCTCCGGGAGAGCCGACACTCCAGAGCCCACACTGTTCTTTTTATGCTGCTCTCCATTTTGTATCTAGCCTGGGCTTTTCTTCCTAGGGTATGTTCTGGGCATCTCCCGGGGACTACAGCCTCACTCTGCTTAGATGGAGGGCACAGCCTTCTCCCAAACTTTCTGGAGTATCCATTGTCTTACAAGGCACCCAGGAGCTCAGGCCAGAGTCCTTCCAGTCTTTCAGCCAGTCATCATCCTGTCCCGCGGTGTCACACCATCCCCACATCCATTCCCACTGCACGGCCTTCCTTCTGGCACAGACGTCTCCAATAGCCTCCTAATTGGTCCCCCTGCTGCTGTTCCTGCCCATCTTCACTCCATCACCCAGCTGGAGTGCTCTTTCCACAGTGAACATCAGATCATGTCAGCCCCCTGCCTAAAACACTTCAATAAATTCTTTTTATTTTGAAGATAGAATCTTGTCTCCTTCATAGGGTGCAGTGGATGCTGCAATGTGCCGTCTGCCCCTGCCCCTAGACCCAGCATCGATTCTCTCAGCTGCCAAAGACATGGGCTGCTGCTAGCTCACAGCTGACATCTCTTAGAGCAGAAAGTCAGGATGGTTGAGGGCATCAGACACTGACTTCTGCAGGCTGGGGGCAAGCAGCTTGACCTCTCCAGGAAGGTCACTGCCACATTCAAGGGTGTACCATCAGACAGAGTGACAATGGTTTGGCATGGCAGTGCAGAGATCTGCCTTCCTTGTTTTGTTTTCTTCAATAACATGGGACATCTTTGACCAGCTACCCCAGTTCTAGCTAGCTCCCAATTTAGAAACAACAGAAACCCTGTTATCCCCTGAGCTGTAACTCATCTCCGCCCTCTGCCCATTTCTGCTTCTCTCTTCCCTTTCCTTACGTGTGGTGTGTGGTTTCTGAGAACTCTTCCTAGTAAAAACAGCATGAACTTTTGACTGTCCTTCATGATCTAGTCTAGCACAGCTCTGAATGTGACACCATGGATCTATTGGTTATCCGGTACCTTGTTTAGTGGGTACAATGTACATAAAACATGAAAAGTGAAGAAAAGAAGTTCTGTTTCATGTGGTCAGCAGATCCCAAGAACATGGCCATTCCAAGCATACCCAGAACAGCAAGTGAGTACTGTGGACCCCAAGCAACTGTTAGAGGGCTTGGTGGTGATGGGAACTTGCCATGCAGGTGGTGGGGGAGAGCAGAGGGTTGGTAGTGATGGGAGTCCACCATGCAGGTGGTGGTCGGGGAGAGTAGGGGGTTTGGTGGTGATGGGAGTCCACCATGCAGGTGGAGGGGAGCAGAGGGTTGGTAGTGATGGGAGTCCACCATGCAGGTAGTGGGAGAGGAGCAGAGGGGAGCAGAGGAAAGCAGAGGGGGTGTACTTTTATTGTTAATGCTTCATTGTGACAGCTTTTACTTTGGAATTTATTCTCTCATATTCTATAGTCTGCCAAGCCAACAACCAAATGAAAAGGCAAGTCAGAATGTACTTCGTCCCTCAAATCCATGTGGCTCCTGCTGAATTTCACCTTTAAAAATGCCTTGAGAGCAGCAAGGGCAGACTGCTGGTGGAACTCCTTATGCAATCCCATGGTAACCTGATCCCATGGAGCAAGGGTAACGACAACAGTGACATCATTCTGAGCTGTGCCCAGGAGCTCGGTGCTTGGCATGCTTTGTGTCTCCTCTGAGCTTTTGATGGTGTTATGGTACCTGCATGCATTGCATTGGCCTCTGCGCATGACTTGTGAGACTTTCTCAGGCATGACCTCCTTGAAACATGTCGCTCCAATCCCTGAGAGGGATCGTGGATTGTCCCTTCCCTGACGACCACACCAGCAACCCTGTAGTTTCATGTTTGCTTTGTTCACCAGCTATCAGGAAACTCCACGCTCAGTTTGCAAGGCACAGAGGCCCACAAATATGTGTGTTGTGGACACTGATCTTCTGACTTTCTTAGAATGTTCTGTTTATATTTGTTTTCCTTTTCCCTCATTTCCTCATCAGAATTAGTCTGGAGCTGCTCTGATTCCAATCTTTTTTAAGTTGGAGAAGAGAAACATTAGACAATTAAGCATTTTAACGATCGCAATGTATTATAATTGACCATCTGTGATGGCTGATCTTCATTATCAGCTAGGAGGGCTGCCTAGGCGATTAGTAAAAACACATCTCTGTATGTGCCTGTATGTATGCGGTGGGGTATGTTCCAGAGATGACTGAACCATGAGGGCTCTGATCTAATAAATAGTTTTATCCATTAATGAACTCAAAATCTGAATAGGATTTTGGGGGGTGATGAAACTGTGGAAATAGAGCCCGACTGAAGGAAGTGTGTCCTTGTGAGCTGTATCTCACCCTGATCCCTTCTGTACGCCCTCTTCTCTTGGTTTCTTGTCTTCCGTGAAGAAGCCTCACCGAACGTTCCAGCTGCCATGATGTTCCACCCCAGTGAATGGGACTAAGTGATCATGGATAAACTGAAACTGTGCATCTAACTAAGCTCCTCCTTCCTTACGCTGTTTCTCTCAATATCTGCTTGGAGGTGAAAAGCTAACTAATATAATTGGTGTGTGTGTGTGTGTGTGTGTGTGTGTGTGTGTGTGTGTGTGTGTGTGTGTGTTGGCATCTAATGAGCGGAGGTCAAGGTTGCCCCTGAATGTCTTACAGTACGCAGTTTGGTCATCTATAGCCAAAAGTTATCTGCCCTAAAGTCAACAGTACTAAGATCATGGAAGTCCAACATGGAGCTATTTTTCACCTTTCTTGCCCCCCGAGCAGTCTCTCCCGTGTGGTGTTTCCACTGTTTGCAGAGGAGATGGTCCACACCCGGGGTGGGGCAGGGGGAGGAGGGCCAGTTCCTGCCTTCTAGTCTCAGCACCTGTGCTTCCTGTGAGAAGCTGACGTCCATGCTGGAAAAACATGAATGAGCACATCTGCAGAGAAAGTTCCCAGAGGTAATCCAGGACTCACCAGGAGCCAGTTCCCCACTCCTGTCTGCAAATCAAGGGGCAGATAATAAGCTGCATTTATTGGTCTGGGCCTGGGCTGGATTTGAGGACAAAAGAGTTCATTTGTCAGGGCTAGCTCTTGGGGACACTTCTGGCTCAGAATTTCTTCCAACTTGGAAACATAGGACTAAAACTTTTGAGAAATTAACCTGAATGGGGCACAGTCAGTCACTGTGTAAGGTCTGTGGAGCTTAGCTTCGTCTGATAGTCTTGAGTTCTGGCCCCACATTTTGCTGCCTCAATAACTTACTAAACGAGTATTAATTCAACTCTATGTGCCAGCGTTTGGCTATGGGTTTTGTGAATTTAATCTATGTAAATGCCAACCAGCAAAGTAGCTACTACCAGTGTCTTCCTTTTGTGGATAAGGAGACTGAATCCTGTCCAAGGTCGCCAAACAACGGAGAACACTAAAATACCATCCCAGTTTCAATTCACCCGATTAAGCTTTTAACTGGCCACTTAGGGCTGATTCTGGGCCTTAAATATACCTGACAGTTGTTTTCCAATATTTAAAAAATTAAAGATGTTACAAAGTCATCTTCTCTTTCAATCTAAAGAATGTCTAGCAGCTTGCGTGTCCACACGTGGTAACAATCAGCTGACCTTGAATGGTGGCTTCCAGTTTTTCCTGTGTCGTCATTGGCTGGTTGGCTCCAGTCAGTATCTGAGATCTTAACTCTCAGTCAGAAGCATCCTGGCATTTGGGTTGCAGGAGGAGGGAGCAGTGCTTGTGTGTCTCATGAACGGTGTCGAGGCAAAACAGCATGACTCAATCCAGTCTTGAATTTGAGCAGGTCCTCATGGGCAGACAGGTGGGAAAGTTCACAGCCTGTCACTGGTTTTGTGAAAGACCTTGCAAGAGGCTTTAGTGGATTTGAGCCAAGGTGTCTTGCAGACGAGGCGGGTGGCGGCGTGGCTCAGTGGACATGCAGACACACATCCACGTGGAAAGTTTTGTTATTAAAGGGGGAGGGGAGAGGGAAGAGAGAGAAAGAGGGAGAGAGAAAGAGAGGGAAAGAGAGAGAGAAAAGGAAAGCAGAGGTGCGCGCAGCCTCCTGAAGAGAGAGATGGAGAGAGGAAGAAGAAGAAGGGGGGGTTCTCTTAAAGGGGGATTTATGTAAGATGGCCTCAGGACACTAGATGGGTCCTAACAACTGGGACATGAGGTCCAGAAAAAGACAGGACTTGCTTAGAAGCCAGCACAAAGGCTTGGGCCCCTCTCCGAATCCTTCTGCCGTCCATAAAAGAGGACAGGTTTGAGAGTTTCTGTGGGTATTTTCAAGCTGGATGCCAGACCCAGGTCCATGCCCCTGAAGGTTCAGCTGTAATTCTGTTGTTCAGGGGGAATCAAATCACATAGAGAGCTGAATTCCACTACTGAAGAATTTAACTTAACAAAGCTTATTTATGTCTCAATGTGCCACAGGTTAAAACAGCATCGTCTTTCCCATCTATCAATAATGTATAAATGTGTGTTAAATTGCTGTGCGTGCTTTTAGTCTCGAGGTACATGAAACAAATGACTGACTTACAGAGCCTTAAAAGACACACACCATTACCCTTCCTGCATTAAACATGGAGTTTGGGGGTCCCTTGGGAGGGAGGTCCCAGGGGAATGTTTTCATGTCCTCTCCTGAATTCAGTTGGCTTACAAGACAAAGGTCAGAAGCACATTGCTTGATGAGGAGGAAGTAACCCTGTTACTCTCATTATCTGCTGATAAGAGAGCCCGTCCTGTAGTGGGTTGATTGCTTCTTGTGAATCATGTCCCACCATTACAGCAGCTCCACACAGTTGGTCTTATTACCTACCATCTGTGGATGTGGAAACTGAGGCTCGGAGAGCTTACAAGCTGAAGGTCACAAGCTAGAGCCAACTATAATTGGTATTCAAATAGTTGTCTTGGCTTCCGAAAGTTTCCATCCTCCACTTATGTAAATTTGCCAGCAATTTAAATTAAACTATTTGGCCTCCCCAAGAGTACAATTTGGAAGAGATTCATCCATCCCATTTTCTAATTATCCAGTGAAAATCTATGAGTCTCAAAGACTGGAAACATTCGTCATTGTATAAGGCTTGGACTTTAAGAAGCATGGCTTTGAGAATTCACTTAGGATCAACTTGGTGTAAAGAGGAGCTAGGAAGAGGCAGGGGAACGTCCCATATCCAGGATCCCTCCTGACTACCTGGGGGCCCGGCTCCCCAGTGTTCCCTTAATTAGAAAAAACACAGAGAACACCTGCCCAAGTTACTAAATGCTTCAGTTTGCTCCTTGCTAAGAAACATTAACCTTTTATTCAGAGGATCTCAATTAGCAGGAGTCAACCTGTGGTTAATGAGAGGAAAATGGAGGGCCCTGAATGAAAGGCCTTTATTTCCATTTCCTCAGAATCGCGTGTTAAGTGGAAAAGCCCTTTCTTACTTTAATTGAAGAGAGAAGGGCAGCTCTGCACGTATGTGTGAGCTTTAATGGGAAGATGGTGGGGCAGGGCTGGGGTGGACTGTTCTGAAGGCTTTTCCTTGAGGATTGGATGAAAATAGGCGTTGAGTGGCTTCTCCTTCTTGCTTTTACCTCTCTCTGCTTCTCTGTCTTCACACAGCGCTGGCTTTCCTTAGAGCCCGGGGTTTGATTGCAAAAGCTAGGAGTGTTAAACATGCCGGGAGCAAGACAACTAGGGGACTGAAGAGCTCAAGGGTCTGTGAGTGGGCAGAGAGATGCAGACCCCCTGCATGGAATGTACTTGACCTCAGGCCTGGGGAAAAGGCCTCTTATTTCCCTCACACAGTGGCTGTGCTAAGTCCCCTGCTGGGTTTAGACTTGTATTTGGCCCTCCCTCAGGCAAGGTGTTATTCACTAAGGGCAGATAAGGAGGCTACAGCTAGTAAGTGGAAGTGGGTTCAAACCTTGGTCTTTTCTGTGACACGGTTCCCAGGCTCTCTCCACACAACGCCTTCAGCTAGGGGCGTATCCTGTTCTGAATGAGTGAGGATTCTCGTGCGTTGATTTGTTCATTTATTTTAAAAGGAGGAAGGATTTGTTTTGGCATTCTTAACTATGTTTCCCTATTTTGTCCTTGACTGACCTTGTGATGTGGAAGCTCAGAGAGTTCAAACAGCTTGCAAAAAAAGTCCCAGCTTCCAGGTAGCACCCTTAGGAACCGCACCAGGCACTGCATCTCCACAGTCCACATTCGTTGCATCACCGACTGCCCACCAGGAGGAAGAAACCTGGTCCTTGTATGTGAGGTCTCCCAGGTGTTCTAGGTACCATCATTTCAAGACACAGAAACTATCTGTCTCTGTGCATGAGCTACATTACCATGACCATACTGAATGCTGGTGAGTGTGTGCAGCAAACACTCCTGTCCCGTGAGGAGTGAGTGAGTGAGGGAGGGAGGGAATGATGTGGTGAGCCACTTGGCAGAGTCCATGTCCTGTGGACTGACCACACACCTGTGATGCAGCCATTCCATCACTATCTACTCCAGATATATAAATATAGATAGATATATAGATATATGTATATATGTATATCTATATGTATATGTATATGTATATGTATATCTATATCTATATCTATATCTATGGAAAGAGTTGTACAGAAAGAGTCACTGTGGAGAAGCTCAGTTGAACCCGTGGTGTCGAACTGGGGAAATGGCTAAGTTGGTGCAGTACTTTTATTGTAAGCATGAGGATCTGAGTTTGAGTCCCAGAACTCATGTAAATAAAAGCAGAGCACGGTGGGGGGTGGGGGGTGGAGACAGGAGCATCCTGGGGCTTGGTGGCCAGCCAGCCTAGCCAAAACAGCAAGCTCCAGATTAGGTGAGAGACCCTATCTCAATGGAAGAGGGCTACTATCCTCCCCTGATCTCCATATACACACGGTGGTGTGTATTTTTAATCTCAATGCAGGGGGGTGGGGGTGGAAAAAGGTGGATCCCTGGGTTTCACTGGCAGGCCAGCCTAACCTACTTGGTGAGTTCATGCGCACCCAGGGGCTCTGCACATGAAGGTGTATATGGAGATCAGGGGAGGATAGTAGCCCTCTTCCATTGAGATAGGGTCTCTCACCTAATCTGGAGCTTGCTGTTTTGGCTAGGCTGGCTGGCCACCAAGCCCCAGGATGCTCCTGTCTCCACCCCCCACCCCCCGCCCCCAGTGCTGCGGTTACTGGAATACAAGTGATTATTCCCAAGATTTTTCATGGCTGTTGGGGATTTGAACTCAGATCCTTCTGCTTGTACAGCAAATACTCTGACCCACTGAGCCACCTCCCTAGCCCCAACATAGGAATTAAGAGGGTCACAATTCAATCTAGAAAATATATCCTTATGCTTTGTACAAATGGCATGTAAAACTTTTCATCACAAGAAAAACAAAACTACAAAGAGATATTGATCTGAAACTAATGATATGCATGCAGAAGTACTTAGAGAGAAATACATTATGCTTTGCAATTTACTTTGAAATGATACAGAAATTAGATAGATCTAAAGATACAGAGATACGTAGTAGAACGAATATATCATCTAGATGATAGACTTTATGTGGTAAGGGCTGGGGACATAGTCCAGGTGGCAGAGTA